CGACAATAGCACTCTAACTAAACTAAGAATTTTATCAAATTTTACATAATCACTTGTACTTTCCCAACTCTTCATCCAAGATGAAACGTTCTCCTAATTTCTTTTAATAGATTTAATATTATTTACTGATAAGTCGTTTCGTGTTTGGTTTTACATTCAAATTCAAAACTCCCAATGAGTGAGAAAAAGCAACCAAGCATTTTACATTTCTTTTGTAATACTTCCTGTAGAATTCTTAAATTTTGTAAGTTTAAACATATATTATATTTGTAACATGAGAGGTCATTTATATACAATAGTAAAAAATTAATCATTTTAACATAGGCCTAAGTGAGTAATGGAGGGAAAAAAATGCAGATTTATTCAATGAGATCCCTGTGTTTGATGCTGCTCAGCGAGTGTTTATATTCGACTCCATCAAGGTCAATGATAGTCGAAGATCACTCTTTTTTTACAATGTCGAGTCTATTACGATAATAAGTTAACGACACGACTAAATCCTGATTCAACCAGGTAAGATAATGGAAAAACTACAATGTAGTGTTGTGCTTTATCCCAAAGTAGTGGGTACTTCTTAGCAGTGTCATTTGTTTTCCATATACAGTATTATGCTTCCCATTTTTGAATTTTATGCAATATGCAATAATTCATCACTATGCAATATGCAACATGCAATAATTCATCACTATGTAATTCAATGAGGGTTTCCTGTAAAAAAAAATGTCTATGTCGGCAGCATTAACTTCAAAAGGAATTACCACCCATGTTGGTATATCCATCAGGTGTAAGTCACTAAACCGAGTTTACATATTTTCATGCAAATTTTCCAAATATTCAACATACAATGCAATGTCATCAATGTGCAAATTGCTGCTAATCGAAGTCAAACAAGGAAACTGTTCATCTGGAACAAACTGACGCAAAACGTTCAGAAATGTCATTGTCAAATGACAGATATTTTATCCCTTATGCAAGAAATGAGTAATAAAGAAATTGACAATATATATACTGTAGAAATTTAATTTTCAGTAAAACAATTGTTCTGAAGTAGAATTGTCCTACAGACCACTAAAATATCACCGTGAACCCCCAATTTGGTATTTTTTTTTCTGTGGATCCCCAGTAATATTACATGGATCCTGGTTGAGAACCACTGCTCTAATATATAAATCTTCCTGCAAAATTTCAGAAATTTTTGACCAAACGAACAGAAATTAAGCTTCAAAGTGAGGTAAACAAAATCATGCCACTCATACATATAGAGGAAACCCTCAAATTTTTTTATTTCATTGCACTTCTCAACATTTCAAGGTCCATAGTTAATTTTTTGACTGATCACTACACTATCCCTCTGTTATATAACATCCAGGAAAGTAAAAAACATGAAATACTGACAAATACTGGAACCCTGCAGAAAACTAATTTAATTTCCTTTGGAATTAAATCAAAACACAGTTGATCATTTTAATTATAAGCTACAAACTTGAAATTTTATAACACTAGGCAAATAATAAAAATTTAAGAACTAAAACTTTCTACTTTACTACCAAACCCCTTTTCCCTAATCAACCACAAATGGTTAACTTTGTCAGTATTTATAGTCATATTGTGAGGATCAGGGAATTTGTACAAAGTTAGTCAGGGAATGTAATGAAATTTAAAATAAAAATTTGAGTAAGAACCCTGCATTTACCTCCCTACCATTTGACCTTTAACCATATAAATTCAATAGTATCAATGTGCCTAATAAACAAACCTCCCTNTTTAATTTCCTTTGGAATTAAATCAAAACACAGTTGATCATTTTAATTATAAGCTACAAACTTGAAAATTTATAACACTAGGCAAATAATAAAAAGTTAAGAACTAAAACTTTATACTTTACTACCAAACCCCTTTTCCCTAATCAACCACAAATGGTTAACTTTGTCAGTATTTATAGTCATTTTATATGTAAATTTAAAGACTATGAATATTAGTTTATATGAAGTTTAGTTAGCTAAAGGCTTCTCCACAAATTTTAATTGTTCCCACTGTTCCGGATGTCTGCTTCTCTGCTAATACTCTACAGTCCTTAAACAGTTGCTTCTGAAATAGACACACTCAATAATAAGGATAAAAATGCCAAGAAAATTCTATAACTTTTGTACAATGTGACTACAAGTTTCCATATATGGTTGACTCAGTTTAGATAGAGGATAACTTATCCTCTAGATAAAACCACTGAACAGTGATTGTTGATCATGGGTTTGTACTTCATCAATGGTCCAGATATATGAAGTATTCTTGGTTTTCATGTTTTAACATCTAAATAGAAGCTATTTTCTCATAGAAAGTTCTTCTGGTAGACATCTCCTTTTGAAACATTACCTGTGTGTTACATCAATATTCATTTACAACTCTTTTATCAAGTACAGAGGATGTGTAGACGAATATAAATTTCCAGTCAAAATTACTTCATGATTGATACTTTACAGCAAGATTTCATGTTTGTATGCAAGAACACGAAATTTACCTGAATTTACCTGATATGTATTATCACACTGGTATATATGCGTGAGATAGCAGAAATTCCTATATTAGAACTTGCACGAGTTACGCAACAATTGTTGGTCTTAGCTACCTGAGAAAGTCTCCCGCTACATTTTTTCGAAGGTACCACGACGCTTTCTCGTGAACTATTAACCTCTGCACAGCCGAAATTGTCCGGGATTATCACCAGAGACGGCTGAAAAGAGTTAGTTGCCATTTTAGTCCTCAGAGAAGTCATCGTCCATTTAATCGTCACCCATAGGATAACCTTTTTTGTGTGTGTGTAAGTGCACGATTGAGCCTGGATAAATTAAAAGGGATATTTGAGTAGAAAAGTCCTAAAATCCACACGACCTGACTGGGATATCTATTACCAAAGGTATTTATCACCATGCAAACCGTATGTGAACTCTCTCTCTCCGCGACGACACTTTATCCAATTTATTTTTAAATAAACCCTTTTTAATTGTTAAGAGTAGTTCGAGTCGCTTCCCTTATGTTGTCTCTGACATTACGAATCCGTCTGACTACGTATGGGACCGCTTGTGCGACGGTGTGACGTAATCGCCGTCTCGGCTTCCGTGTTCCGCTAAACACGGTGGTGTCAATCCTGACAGGGCACTAAGAAGGTGCCGACCCGAAAGGTCACATATGTATGTATGTTAAAGCATAGTGGATAACTCTGTTCATAGGAAATTTATCTGCCAAACAGTGTTTGCTTGGCTTGTTATAGTTCAAAAGACCAACAAACCAGTCTAAAACCAAATTAATGGGAGGGGACATTGACTGACATTGTAATAAACACAAATTGCTGAGCAGAATGAAGAGCCATGTGAATGAGTCTGCATTAAGTCGACTTTGTCTAATTCTAATGCACACCTAATTTTTGCAACCAGTAAAGTCAAAAAGAAAAAAAAAAAAATTTGCATTATAAAAGAGAAAATGCAATGACATTGGGGAGAGCTTCAAGCGAGCCAATGAGCAATCTGCTTTATATGAAATACCGTTGGCTTGCTGATATAGCTGCTTACGACTTAATGCATCCAGTGACACTTGTACTTAGAACTGCAGTAAAACTAATATATGCAACAAGTTGCAGCAATTTTATACATTCAAATTGCCTCTTACCCATGCCAACATTAGTACACACAGGGCCGGTTGCAACGATATTTATTTCATATCAATGGAAATTATTTCATATTTTTACCAGAATTGGGCAGCACAGGGCCGGTTGCAACGATATTTATTTCATATCAATGGAAATTATTTCATATTTTTACCAGAATTGGGCAGCATAGACATAATAATTTAAAATGAAAAAATTTTTTTCAAATATTCAAAATTTGAGCAGTAATAACACTTATATAACAACAATTTAAAGCAGTATATCTCAACAAAGACCATGGAACATTTTGGGAGGCCACAGAAAAGTTGTGGAAGATTGGGAAGTGCCTAAGAACTGCCACCGAAGCTCTAAGAGAATCACAGAAAGAATGATGGATTCATTTCATGTAAACGCATGTAATGTAGATCAGAGAGTACAAGAATATTGTTGATCGACATGGTAATTTGGCACTTTGAGCAACCGAAAACAATTCCCTAAGGTTTGAAATATGTGAGATTATTTTATAGGTTTTCCAAGAATCTATTCGGTCGATCGGGTTTTAGTAGAGTCATTCATCTATCAAAAGCTCAAAACATTTTGATATCATACGAATAGGGAAGACCTTTTGTTAACTTTAACAAACTTCCGGTAACAATACAAACACTTTCCAAACAAGGGAGCAAAGCTGTTTAAACTACTAAGCGACACCAAGGACTGAGGAAACGAGCCTCAGCCTGCAGCCAAAGAAAAGAAAAAAATATATATATAAAAAACATTTAATGATTTCCGTATAAAAGATAAGTGAAATATCAGCTTTATTGCATATTTTAATTATATTTAGATTAACCAACTCAGCAGAAAGACAACCAAGCAGTTAAGGTGCCTGCCTACAACTCCGAGACGCGGGATCAAATCCATATATATTGTAAAACTGGATACGTCCAGTCTGGTCGGTCCCTGGCCACCTAAAGGCGGATCCGAATTCTCTCACAAAGGAAAATTGTAAATGTGTAATTTACTAATTAAAATATTTAATAAACTAAAACTGATAAGACAAGCGCAATTGTTTAATTCAAATTTAGTTAATTAATAGATAGTTATTGAGTATGCCATACAGGAGAGACCAACGAGACAAAGGAAGATTGAAAACCGAACATTACACTCAACAAAAATAAAACGTGTCTAATAATCCGAAATTTAAATTTTTAAAAAGTCTGACGTCATAACGAACGTGAGCGCACACACTCCACGTGACACCTAATAGTCACGTGTTGGCGTACAAGCGTGACGCTCTGTCACTGCACGATCAATCAATATATACTTAATTATATTCCTAAACAACAATTATTATATTTATAATTACCTGCATCCTCGAAATTGATTCTTGTATTCGTCCTGGTTTGAATATCCTTAATATTGCATCCCTGTCGACCAATAACGGAGCCAACCGCGCAGTTGGGTATCTTCGTCCTGATTATCGTCTGCCTCGACGTTTCCACCTTCGATTTTGGCACTTCCAACTGTTCTTTCTCCTTCGACTTTAATAAAACATACAATACAGCGGCCCACACCGACACGCTAACGCCTACACCTACTAAAATAACCGTCTGTTTCACTCCCCAAGCCATTTTTCCTTCTTCTCTCTTCCTACCGCAACATCGCACACGCCGCCATTACTACGAACAGCGCCCTCTACCGGAGGAAATTATTTTACGAAATAATAAAAAAATTATTCGTTGTAATAAGTGTTTTTGCTTGAAATATCGTTTAAAATAATTTATAAACTAAATATTTTATTAATTATTTTACAATGAATTTATCCTAAAATCCAGCAGCGAGTTGCGTAACTTTCCCGGCAAAATCATTAAAAATTGAATGACTGAGGTGTGAGCATCTGTTTTTATATTTTATTAAAATTTTTTTATTAATAATTTTTATAAAATGATAAAAAAGTTAATCTTAGGGGCATTTACGATTTATAAAACTTGTAAACGTTACTAATGTGTAAAACAAGGAAACTAGGCACGAAACTGCAATGGTTAAATTGGCAGCTTAGAATGACCGAACAGCCCATCAAATCGGACCAACGGAAATCTTTGCCCGGTAATTATCTAAGTTGACATCGCTTGTCACCTGGACAGAATCTTTGTGTGGGCGACTAATCACTATTGTTGACTTAGATGGCAGGTGTGACGTTATTCACATCGCGCGTCGTTATTTTACCATAGTAATCATTAGAAGACCCGACAACAGCATTTTACGTATTTTCTTTGTTAAAAATAAATGGCACAAGAGACACGAGTTATCCCATGTCCTTTATGTAAGCTGTTGACAGTCCTACTTCTATATAAAGAAACACAAGACTCTCAGTTTTCTTGCATAAATAGTTTTCAGCTGATGCAACATTTTTCAGAAATTCCATTTACAATTAATATGACTTTATTAATAAGTGCAAAAATACATAAATTGTAGTTTTTGACACAAAGCAATTGTTATCCTGTTACATTAAACGTCCATTTTCTAGTAAAACTGGCTCTAATCGATTTACATTCTACTCAATACCTACCATCGCTTACCAAGTAACTAACACCGAATCAAGTTGAAAGTAAAAAACTAATCTATACTTAAATGTAATTTGGTAAAAGATTGCTGTCTTTTATGTTGTTACAAAACACATTTTTTCATCAAATATACTTTTAAAATGAATATCAATTTATAATTTTTTTTATCAGCGAGAAGGTCAATTCTATGGTGCAGCTTGCATTTCTCATTAAATAGTGTACTTTTTACTACACTACAAATGCATTGCAACGATGATTTAGTGTTATAATTTTCCAATAAATGCAATTATAAATCGGGAAATAACTTGATATAATCCTGCATACCATTAAACAGATCATTATCTAAAAGTAGACAATTGTCCTCGATATCATCTTTTGTAGAAAACATCAATCTGGGCAACGGAATAGTTAATTCACATTCATCATCAATTGGTATTTCTGCAGGATTTCCGACACAATTAAAAGCCTTAAGCAAATATGCAGGAAATGTATTTAGTCGAATTCCCTGTTCAATTTGATCAATAACAAAAGGAGTTTGAACTATTCCACATAAATAGATTTTAAATTTGTTCCACGTGTTTTTAATCAATATATTTCGAATGTTCTTTATATTTTCCCAGATATTTGTCATTATTCTGGGATGTTTCGTTCCAAGAAACTCTTTTCCTATTTTCATAAACATAAATATTTCCACTTGACAGGAATGCGAAACTCTATTGTGAAGTTTATTCAGGTTCTCAAACGTAACGTTGAAGGACTCGCAAATGTCAAAAATAAAGTATATCCGTGAAAAATCTGAAGGAATCATCCAATGAAAATAGTTGATACGTGAATTACACGAGTTTTCGTACTTTTTAATTGTGTTCGAAAATATTTTCTTGTCTTCTTCATTTACAATTTCGTTGTATATCATTATCGAAAGATCCAACGAAAACACAACTTTTTCAAAATTATTGAAGCAAGTTTTTGGAATTTTTTCGTCTCCAAATAAACCGAAGTAAAATATAATAAAATTGTAAACAGTTGTAAACTTTGTAACACGTGGTACAGTAGAATCGCTTGTGACGTTCAGGAAAGGCACTTCAGAGTTTTTATACAAATACAGGGCGACGAGAAATTCTTTGACTGTCTCGTGCACGCAATCAAAGCATGGATTATCGTCAATGTCAAAGCAGTCAACAAGAAAATCCAAACCGTAATCTAAAATCTCATTACGATCACCGACACATTCATTTAATTCGTCGATTGTAAATTTTTGTTTCTTATCAAAGGGATAGAATCGCACTTTTTTATTGGTATTTTTCTCGTAAATTAACTTTCCTAACCCAACTAAAATTCCTTCCAATGGAAAATACTTTTCTATCGGCACTTTGAAATTTTTCTCAACTTTTCTCCTTGATCTGTTTGTAATCAATTGCATTATATTAATATACAAATCTGTCTTTCTTTGTACATTTTCTAATCGATTACTTTTGTGCAAACAACAAAGCATATGCAAGAATAACGGATATTTAGACAAAGATAAATAAACTTTGTTTTGTAATACTTTAAGGAGTGTTTGTGTTTTATCAACATTTTTTTTGAACACCAACTTCGCGTATTCTTCCTGTTGTTCGAGTGACAATACTCTAAGATCAAATCGAAAATTTATGGATTCTCTTATTTCTTCTGCACAATAGGGACGACTCGTCATAATAATGGTCAATTTTCGAAAAATACCAATGGAGTCATTTAAGAAATTTTTGTATTTGTAAGAATATTTGTAATCTTCATTGTATCCATCTAAAATAATTAATATATTTAAATTTGCCTTCTGTATTTTTCTCTTCATTTCTGGTTGTGAACTTCCGCAAAATACCAAAGGAGTCATTTAAGAAATTTTTGTATTTGTAAGAATTTTTGTAATCTTCATCGTATCCATCTAAAATAATTAATATATTTAAATTTGCCTTCTGTATTTTTCTCTTCATTTCTGGTTGTGAACTTCCGCAAAATACCTCTAGAACTGCATCCTCCACTGTCTTAGTAACGTGAAGATCTATTAACGTTAAGACTGTAACAATATCAAACTGACCTAAGTAATTGTTTGCAGGATTATCGACAGCCCAATCGTACACAATCTTCTTGCACAATGTAGTTTTGCCAGAACCAGGATTCCCACATACAAAAATTCTCGTATGTCCATCATCGACTTCTTTAAATATATCCTTGATATCGAGAATTTCACCGATTGGACTACCAAAATTATCTGTTTTTTGCAGTTTTAAATTAACGTAATAATCGTTTAGAGGAAAATCTCTTCTCTTATTCTCCCATAAGAATGATCTCATATAACTGTATTCTGTTTTGTAAAATTTCTTCAGTCGGTCTTTATTTTTTTGAAATATTTCTGAAAAAATTTTTCATTATCAGATAAAAAATACTTGTTTAAATTATTTTATATGTTACTATAAAATGTATCAAAATAAATATAATATATATAATAAAACCTGTAAATTTCGAACTTAAAGGAATCAAATATCCTGTATTAAATATAAAGAGGTTATAAATAATTTTGAAGTTATATGTAATATTTAAGCTCAATGTACAAAGCAGTAAAGTGAGAAATTTAATTCATGATTTTAATCTAAATATCTGTAATCATGATTTAGATAAGTGACTCATTACATAAATCATGAACAAGAAAATGTAGGTGATTAGAAATAGATCTTTATTAATTTAAAGTACGGTAGAGCATCGGTTATCCGACCCCCGATTAACCATCACCTCGGTTAACCAACTGTCCTAGTCGGCAAATTTCAAATGTCCGCTAGTGATGTGGCGCTACAATATTTGGTTATGTCTTGGCTACTTTAATATTATTTTTACGTGTTTTAGCTGGCAACACTGGATCGACCATGAAAGGAAGCCAGTATTTAAACGAGGCTTAATTTTCTAATTTTTAGCGATACAATAGTAACAATTATTATTTTAAAAAATTTTTGTTAGGCTTAACATCAATGAAAATTTAACGCGAAGTACGTTAATAGCGATATACTGATATACTAATTACATGGGATATAATAATATACTACACTAATAATGGATTTTTTCATACTTTTCAGTTATCCGACTTTTCAATTATCCGACCAACCCCACTCCCCAATTGAGTCGGATAATCGAGGCTCTACTGTAAATCACTTTATCAGTTCATAAATGCGAAGTTCAATATGGCTGCAGGAACGAAAAACTCTGCTCTAAATCGAAATATGAATTATTTATAAAAACTAGATTTAGTTTTCAACTAAATCAGCAATACTGATGTCATGGCTTTCTTATGCAGCTGTATTGATCCTATATTAAACAATGAGCCAAAAAGAATTGGCAGATCTTAACAAGTTTTTTGACATCTGTCAAGCTTTACTTAAGGTGAAATTGAATATTACAGGTTTTACTGTATTTATTATCTGTATTTTAGAATAAATCATACCTAATTCATCTGTATCCAATATTTGAGAGAGAGCATCATGTCTTGTTTCATAATGTTTATAAACTTGTAACATGGTGGAATTTAAATGAACTGAAACTACAGTACATCACAGTTAATGTAACTTTTATTGTTGATGATCTCAAACAGTTGTTAAAGAATAAGATAGACAAACTTACCACTTTCAGAGAGGATTTCTTTGCAGAAACTTCTAGACTTCGTTTAGGATTCACTTAGGTATGTTGTTCAGTTGCTTGATGGAATGTATCTGAAATAAATGAATAAATACAATTTAGAAAAGCCTTATAAAATTTGATTCGTTTTCATTCTGTAATCGAGAGCCAGCAAATAGTATAAATTTCAGAAGAAAAGACTTGATAAATTGTAAAAAATAATGCAAGTTTACAGTTGACTATATACTGCACTAGCTGTTACCCGCGACTTCGCCCGCGAGGATTTTGCAAGCAAACCCCATTTATATTCAGTATTTCAACAACCATAGTAATTGTTATATAACACCTACCCCTGAGAATGATGAGAATTGCCGAGAATCAAACGAACTATTTTCAATTTGATCAATTTTCTGGAACGTTTACAATCGTTCTA